CTCTCAAAACAGGTGACCCCCACCTCCTTCTTTCGCAAATATCTCGAATTGTATTCAAGATAAGTGGATATTTTTTTCATTCAAATAAAGACAAGTAAACAAGCTTTAAAATAATACCAATAACTCTACATGCCCAAAAATTGACGAGAGCCTGATTCCACCACGCTGCCTCACTTATGAAGTTTTTTTGCCTTCGCTTTATTTGCTAGGTTTTTTTTCGCACTGAAAGATATACAGTGGGTGATTGGTGGGTTCTCTGGTTTGGTTTGCTACTTCTTTCCAATCAATTTCATATCGTCCATATCTCTCCTTCTTTTTTCTTTGTGTGATACTCTCTAGTAACACATCTCATCTGTGACATTGAATTATCATCCAATTGTGTGCTGTAAAACTCCTGCTAAGCTAAATGTATGCCATTGTTTTCATATCACCTAATTTGCATTTTTTTTCCTTCTGAAACATAAGTGACATTCTTTATATACCTAACAGTACTAGTTTATTTATTCTTTCCCTCCAGTCTCTGACCCCCGCTGATGGAAGACAGTGACGCGCCCACTCACACACGGCACAAGTCGACAGCGGACCAAAAGAGGGAGTGTGACGTCACCACGGCCGACATAGCGGCGGACAATGAGGACGGCTACATGGGGAGGAAGAGAATGATACGTGACGAGAGGAATGCGGAGAAGAAGGACGGGAAGGGAGAGGCAGACAGAGGAGGGAAGATGGGGGAGGAGGAGGAGGATGAAGACGAGGATGAAATAAATGCAGAGCTGCTTCAGGATGGCCTCAAGAGGGCGTTGTCTCAAACGTGGCATGCCCCGGATGGAGGGTGAGTCTCTTCAGGTTTTTTTGTTTGTTTGTTTGGGGGGGGGGTACTTCTTATTTATTTATCATTTTTGGGGTTTTTATTTTGGTAAGTGTTTTACGGAGCTCGCAACTGCATAAAGTCATATGAGTGCTAGGTGTTTAATCTTTCTTACCATAATAGTAGGGATGTGACTGAAAGACAGCAGTAAGAAGGAGCCAATGAGTAGCAGTAGAAAGGCTAAGGAGGTGAGGCGGTGGGGGTAGAAAGTGGAGATGAAAGCAGGCGGTAGAATATTATTAGAGAGCAGGGAAGGATGTGAAAGTAGAGTGTAGAATTTAGAGAAGAAAATTTTCAATCGCTGTCAGATTTCGAACCTGGAAGCAATTGAATAAGAGGCTAACACCGTAACTTCTCGACCACGAGAGTCCCTGTAAATAGGCTGAACCCTTTTGATATCGTCCATCTCCGATAGGACTACGCCAATTCATGAAGGGCTCGGTGAAAAAACGGTTGTTATTAGAGACTGGAATTCGTGTGGAGATCAGTTCTTAGGGCTGGTAACCTTATACTTACAAGTCTATTTAACTGTTGATTGATCGCTGATGTTCGACTTTCCATTCAGCTAACAATAACAATGAACAACCAGTCCAACAGCAATGAAGTTGATTTAATCTACAAGATTTTGAAATTGATACCCATATGGTCTCCAGTTGGGAACATTCGAGCAAAGTGTCTCCCTCAAGGACAGAGGGTCAGGCCCAGCTGAGCCTCGAACACTCGAACACTCGAATGCTCGAACACTCGTACACACGAATGCTCGAATCCACAGTCTCACCATTACAAGTCCGGCAGCAAATACGATAATTTAATCTACAAGATTTTGAAATTGATACCCATATGATCTCCAGTTTGTGATTTAAAAAACCCAACAACAACAACACTTTCTCCACTGAATCCTCCACATGGGAACATTCGTGCAAAGTGTCTCCCTCAAGGACAGAGGCTCAGGCCCAGCTAAGCCTCGAACACTCGAACACTCGAACACTCGAATGCTCGAACACTCGAACAATCGAACACACGAACGCTCGAATCCAC